TATATATATATATATATATATATATATATATATCTTTTCTTTATTTTGTCATTTAGGTTCTACCTTTCATGTTTGAGGAGACGGGACACTTGCAAGAGAACTAGGTGGTGATGTTGTTTATGTGGGGGAATTTTATCTAATTTCCTCCAAAGTACTCTTGTTTATTTTTAGCAAGGACTCGATTTGAAGCAAACTCGTGGCGATAGGTCATTCCTATCCAGAATGCAGTTTGATAGTATTCCATATTAAGGTTCAATTGAATTAGGAATATATCATATACAATAAAAATGGGGTAACCCTGTAACCCTTTTTCCTTTCCTGGACCATATAGCAAGTTCATTATTTGACTTATATATAATCTATAATTGGCTAGTACCACTATTATAAAATGCTTCTATCTTTTGATGTCTGCCCACTGTAGATGTGTATCAGGGATTGTAATCAAGACTTCTTGTTTTGGAGGCATCTGCAGAAATACAATGCCTTTTCAAATCTAGCCTCATGTTTAACTGTTAAATAATTGCAGGAGATTTTAGTTTGTCAATAACTTTCTATTGCTTATACTCACACTTATTTTGTGCAAGTCTGTTTGAAGTTGTCTATATCTATCTTGGGAGCCATTAATTGCTAATATATTGAAAAAGATATTTTGCTTTTCTAGTTTCTTGGAGCTCAAAAAATGGTTTTTGGTAAAGATGCAATTATCACCATATAACTTATTACTAAGGCTGTGCAGCTAACTGAACTTTTGACAAACTCAATGTCTGTTTCTCTAATATTTTGTGATTGAAACCAATGTATCAGGATCTTCGTGAAAATGTTCCACTTCTATACTTATGGTATGCTGATATGGAAATAGCACTATCCACTTCTAGCAGCAACACTGAGTTCTCGCAGCGTGCAATTCACATTTTGTCTTGCTTGGGAGGGAATGTGAAGTATACTCCTTTTAATTGTCAACCATCGCCTCTGCAGATCCTGAGAGCACGTCAAGGATTCAAAGAACAAATTAGGAGCTTGCGAAATTTGTGGGCTCGTGGTTCTATAGGGGAACATTCTATTGCTTTTGTCTGTGCAGCTTGTTTGTTTGAGACATTAACCAATGATTATTGTACTGGTATTCAAGTTATAGAGGAAGCCTTCTCTATGGTACTTCCAGGTCATTCATCTGCTCTTCTCCTCTGTTCCTTTATTCGAGTTCATCTCTCTCTTTCAACTAATGGTACTTCATCTAGTATGCCTGGGTACTTGTTATGACATAATTTTCTTTTTATGTCATGCTAACTTTATGTCAAATAAAATGCTATATTTAATTATTCCAATGCTTGTCCAAAGGAACATAATTGACAAATGGAAATAAGTATTGCAAATAGATGGACCAATTTTCGGATTTATAGAGCATTATATTACTGTGCTCTTTTGATTATGTACCCTTTTTGCTGGTAGGCTATTTTCTTTTTTGTCTCAACTTGTATTAAAATCCATTGTCAAGAACTCAAGATAATGGCAAATCCTACAAATAAAAATGCATAAGTCTACCACTAATAAGAGATCCAGGTAGGGTCAATGTACACAGCCTTAACTTTACACATATAGAGGCTGTTTTCGTGAAGTTGCAAAGGAGCAACGTTACGTTGTACCATGCATGGAAAATACAACAAATATTGCAAGGCTCATTGAGACTCTGCATGAGCTTAGCTTTGTTTGAAGCTCAACCTTCCTGAGGTGAGCTTTAGTTGCACCTTGTGAGCCTTTTGAAGGTGTCCATGCTCCTTAGCATGTATATATATTTTTTCACTAACACGGTCTACTATTAAGTGAGGTTCATGTCATTTATTTCTTTGATCTTATTTATTTGCTAAATAAGTTGAGGTCTCTTCAGTTTGAGAAAGGAAACATGATCAACTAGTATAGAGGAGTAGGTAATCAGGTGAAAGGTGTGATTATAAGGTCTCTGCATATTCTGTTTGTCTTTGTCATTATTCAACTTTGATTCTTTTTTATCTTATGGGTGCTCGTGTGTTGTTTATCTTTGTCATTATTCAGCTTTGATTTTTTTTGGTTTATTCATTTACTTCCTCTCTATGGGTGCTTGTATGTTGTTTGTCTTTATCATTATTCAGATTTTTTTCTTTTTGTTTTATTTGTTTACTTCCTCTCTTATGGGTGCTCGTTTGTTGTTTTTCTTCTCCTCTTCTTTTTTAACATTTTTGGTTTTTTTAATTTTCCAGCTACCATGAGTAGTTACACTAATTAGAATTAGCCACAGTTTATTTGTAATTATTTAGACATTTCCGAATGATAACTACATCTTAGTTTATGTTTTTATTCCATTTTTATTTATCCTGAGTTCTCTAATTAAATGTGCGTTACTTTATAGTAATGGTCTGAGTTCAAGAAGGTCGTGATGAATCTTAAATTGCATCAAGTTATGGTTCGGCTGAATATAGTCCGATCACCGACAGGTACACGGACCAGCACAAACTGGGCACTCCGGTCCTGTTCTAATTATATATAGTATTCATTTTTCCTTTGACTCAGGGTTTGGGTTGTGACTCCTTATGCTTGTGAGATCTTAATCCGCCACTTATATGCCATCTCTTCCTCCGCTGTCTCCTGTTCTTTTTCCTCATCCTACATCCTCTTCTTCCTCCTCATCCTTCTTCTTCCTTTTCATTCTTCCTTGTCTTCCTTCATCTCCCCTTCTTGCAAGATCTTAATCTGCCAACTATGCAAGATCTTAATCCGCCATCCATACTCCTCCTTTGCCTCTTCTTCTTCTTCTTCTGCTTCCTTCAACCTCTTCTTCCTCCTCATCCTTCTCTTCTTCATCTTCATTCTTCCTCGTCTTCCTTCCTCTCCTCTTTTTGTCCTCTTCTCTCCCTCCCCCAGTGATATCATGGTATGTTCGTATTGTGTGTCAGGATGCCGAAATGAACAGGGTTAATGTATCATGTGTCAGTATGCTGAAACGGATTGGGCTCATACCGGTTTGGCCATGAACCAGCATGGTCCAATAACTGAAACTGCAATCCTTAACATAAAGGTTTTAAATACTCATTTAATAGTTCTGATAACCTGTTAGACTAGCATGATACCTGATATCATTGAAGAAAATAAAACAACAATTTATTGAATGTTACTAAGTTGTATGTTTATTGTGGGTACCTAGTTGAACCAATAAATAGTGTTTGGTACTAGTTTTGAAAGATATTTAAATTCCTAACATGCATGTAAAATGTAACTCAGAGAACTAGAACGAAAAGCTAGCAATTTTTCATGGAGCTTTCACATACGAAGTGTTTATCGTAGCATCCATTCTCTTAAAAAAATCAATACATAGGATTTGCACTTTAATTTGGTTAGTTCTACTTTCTATTGCTATAGATGGGTTAGTTTTGGGTATGACTACATTTAAGATTTTACAGTTGTGACTCTTGTTGGGAATTCAGTTCTGCAGTATCTTAGGATTAGGGAGAATTTTTTAGGTATGCAGATCGTTCCATCTTTTATTTTTAGATAATCTGAACTGAATCTTTTTCAGAGCGAAGAAGTCAGAGCCTGCAACTTGAATCCTTGTGGGTCTATTACATTAAGGTGCTTGAGAGACATCTAAAACAGTTCAAGTTCTCAAGGATATGGAAAACCACATTACAAGGGTATCAAATATATCCTTATAATCCAAAATCATTTAGAGCCATGTTACAAGTGAACTACCATTATAGTGTGTCAAGCAAAGTGCGACATTTATTTGATGAATGCTGTCAAAGGTAAGGCTTCATCTCAAACAACCTATAGTTTCTTGATCTTTTGTTTGAATTTAACTGAACAGTGTAGTAATGATGTTTTCTTTTGAACAGTTGAATATTTTATCATTTGTCCTTGAATTGTATATCTATCAACATTTGAGTTGAAATTTTTGACTCAGTTTATCGTAATAAGACTGGAGAATAATTAAGTTTATTTATGTTGGACTTTAACTTGATCTATTGTTTTCTGTCACTCAAGCTCTTTCTTTGAAATCTTTATGATTGTGTGCAAGGGTTTAACTTTTGACTAAGAATTAACATAGGCAACCTACTGGATCAATACAATAATATCGGTCTAGTGGGCAGCATACTGACCTATACTGCCATGCCCAAGGTCATTGAATTAGGTAATAAAATAATAAAAATGAATGAATGATACCGGTACTTAGTTGGACTGGTAAACAACCTATACAAATGAGATTTAGAACCTTTTTTTTCATGCTGGATAGCATTGAAGTGGCTTGATACTCCAGAAAAGTGACACCATTGTGGCATTTGTGTTTTGTGTGCAATGGACTTTGATGCATTCTTCATGATATCTTAGTGACTGGCCCCCGAGCACCTTGAACTGATTCAGTTGGGCGACTTCGCATGTTTGCTGCCTACGCAGGTGCCTGAGCCTACAAACTGGGCGGTCTAGGTGCTCGCAGGCAATAAATATTCTAATCATTATTCGGAACGTAGGATCTTCTGATTCTATGACCTAGAAGAAAGTTGGTCAGTCAATTCAGTTTAATTGGATCCTAGCTTGGACTTGCAAGTTGATTCAATTATATAGGTTTAAAAGATGAGAAAAAGAAAACATTGATCTGTTCTAACCGACTGACCTGCTGTTAACCTAGCAAAGAAACCTTGCTGCCTCGTCTTGCCATGCTACCACATTTCAGCATCTTGCTTGGCCGCCTCACCTTATTGTCTCGCCTCACTTCCTCACCACCCCAACTCATTGGCTTGCCTTGCTGCCTCTCTGCCTCACCTTGTCGGCTCTCTGCACCACCTTGCCACCTTACTGCCTTGTTGCTGTGCTTTATGTAGCTCCTCTTCTCCCCTCCGTCCTCTCTATTAATAACCCTCTTTTCCTTCCCTTCTCCACCTTCTGTCTCTCTATGATAGCACCCCTTCTCAAATCCGACATTGCACTTTATTGAAGGAGACAAACAACTTACTGCTACTTGCTGTTATATGACTATATCTATTGGACAGATAGGATATAGGAAAATGATTAATCACTTTAAGAATGATTAATTAAATTGATTAATCATCTGTTCCATTATTGTATAACTAGATAGGAGAATCTATTCTATTCTTCTTCTTACAGCAGTATCTAAAAATGCATTATTATTGCATAACTGAAAGCTGTTTCATATTTTTTATAATTTTTATATTGGTGAACATCTCGTTTTGCTCGGGTGAGTGCCTAAGCGAGAACCTAGCGCCTCAGGAATTTTGGAATGCTTGTGCCTTTTGGTGTCCAATGCCTTTGACAATATCGTGAAAAGGGAATATGGATGTTTAACAAAAGAGATTTTTTTTTGGGAGATGATCTTTGGTAGTAATAAGAAGCAGTGAGGTCTTCAGACGCTCACTTAGGTGCCTAGGTGAGGTGAGGCATGAGAGCTCACTCACTTAGGTGCCTAGGTGAGGCGAGGCATGAGAGCCTGGTAACTGGTTTGCGTTGGCGATTGTGCTTGGGTGATGCTTATGTTGGTCTTGGGCATTGTGTCACAGACTTAACTAGTTATATCTAAGTCATGTAATATTTTTACATGTCTGTCTGCAAATGGATAGTCTGCTTATAATCTTTCAGGGTCCCCAAGGATCTGCAAAAGAAAAAATGAGTTAGTTGAACCATTAAACTCAGGATCCCACGAGCAAACATTTTAGCTAATACTTGTTAGGTAGTGTAAAATACAAAGGTGAACTTTGCAAGCTTTGAACGATTATGCAATAAAGGAACCAAGGTAGCTCATCACGCCTAAAAGTCCCTACGAACAAGTGCTCATGCCTCTTAAATGTAATAACCCAATTAGTCCCATATTGGAAGTGGGCTAAAACTAAGGTTGACTTATAAGAGTCTAATGGACGAACTACTATTAACTTTAGCTTAAGTATTTTAGCCAATGGTTTGGGCCTCAACAAAGTTAATAGGCTAATTATCCCATCAGGTTGGGTTGTAATAATTAGTATCAAAGCTGAGTTAGTATTAGAGCATAGTGAGGAGCTCGAGTAGGAAAGGACTACTCGTGGACAGGGCTAGAGAGCACGTCACAACGTGGAGCCACCATTGGGCCAAGCCCATAAGTAAGGGAAATTGTAATACCCTGATTAGTTCCACATTGAAAGTGGGCTACGAGTACGATTGATTTATATGGGCTTGATGATTGAACTACTGTTAACTCCAGCTTAAGTATTTTGGTTAGTGGTTTAATCTCAAAAAAGTTAACAAGTCAGTTATACCATTAGGTCAGGTTTTAACACCAAGGTTGATTGTTTGGGTCAAACTTGACCTGCTTTGGGTTGATATTATATGTACCGTCCAAAACAGGTTGGTCCGCATACTGGTCAGTAGGCAGACCAGCACGTACCATTTCAAGTGTACGTCCAACATTGTTTATATGTAAGTTTAACATGCTGTTATACTAGATATTACTATTTTACGAGATTTTTGGTTGGAAATGGAATTTCTAGTACAGGTCCGGTATGGGTGTACCATTTGATTTACCTTCGTCCATGCACCAATAATCTACTAGACTGGTAAATATCGCTTGTCCCGAACCATGCCGGACAGTATTATGAACCTTGTATGTAATTATATATTAGTTGTCACTTGGAGTTCCTGAAAGTTGGTATCATGTTTTGCACTTGTTGCACATGGAGCAACCATAAAAAGGCCACTCTCAGTGGGCACCAGAAAGCATTTCATAGCTGTAAACTAAAGTGTCTATTATTGTGACAAAAAAAGTTCCAATGCTGGATGTTGATGTCAAGTAGCTGTAGGTCCTATATCCTTAGGTAGATAATGATTGGAATGATCTTGCTTTCTTGCTCGTTTTTGCTTTGTTGGCCGGCAAAAGATTCTTCAATTTGTAATTATATCACATCATTCCTGCTGAAAGTCACCTTCTAATCATATCTTGCTTGCCAATTTCCCCAGATATCCATCTGTAATTATGTTTCTTTTCGCATTATCCTTTGAAATTGGTGGAGCTGGTTCTGAACACAGGATTCATAGTCTGTTTGAGAAAGCACTAGCTAATGACAAGTTGCAGAAGTCTGTGTTACTGTGGCGCTGCTACCTTGAATATGAAGCAAATATTTCACGTAACCCATCAGCAGCAAGAAGAATTTTTTTTAGAGCTATTCATGCATGTCCATGGTATGAGCTCTGCGTTCATAAATTAAATTTTGTTAACTTATTTTCTGTTCTTTATTATACTCTCCTGTTCCTAATTTGGAAACTATTCTAGTGTTCAATGAAGTGCTAATGGGTGCCTACTTGCTGTGTTTTTATCAGATACTCTCATTTTTTATGTCCTTTCTGCTTAGTATATAATAATTATTTTCCAAATAGTTCTTTTGTTGATTAGAAAATGTTGTTTTGTGAATTTCTCCCATTGAAGAACTTCCACATTTTCTGATTTCTTCTATCTGGATGAATCTGTGGTTGAACTTTTATTGATTGATTGTTGACCTTGAACCATCTCTCTATATATATTTTTTGTAAGGCTTTCAAGGGGTTAATCATTGTTATAAGTTATATTGTGATTCTCAAGTCATAAGAGAATCTAGATAGTTGATAGAATAGGAATCTTTTCTTCTTCTACTTTTTTTCTTTACTTTTGATTGGTTTTGATTCTGTTAAAAGGAGGTTTGAAGAAAGTCAGTCTAAAATTTTTTGGGATATATTTTCTTTTTTGTTTTTAGGCTACATTCGTGGTTTTTCATAAGTAGATTTAGCTTACCATAGGTCTAGTTAGGTGCTTGAGTTAGATCTTGATTGGTTAGGGTTAGACCTAGGTCATATTTGGACTCTTTGTAATGTCGAGAGGGAAAAACAATGCACTGATGTTTAGCAAATTGACAAATTTCACACTGAAATGGAGAACTGGCATTGTTTATGAACACTGAAGGCAAAAACTTTTGCAAATAGGGAAAGCTTGGGTGGCCTAATCTATAGTGCCACAACATTATTTCACTACTAGTAGAGAGGGTATTGTTATTTATTGTCAATTGAGCTTGTCCATTCCAAGTAGCATCCTCTTCAAGATAATAAAGTCCTTTACTCTCCTTAGCATTACTATCATCCTCCCCAAATACAGGTCCTGAAATTCACTGTGAGAAGGTAAGAGCTTAGCAACACAATGCAAATTCTTTTGAGTTTATTAATAGACAAGAAGTTACAAGATAAGTTGGGAACATGAAGCATAGAATTCAATACAAAGCAAGGTTTTGAATACAATACCGTACTGGTATGCTCGGTATGATACGATATAGCGTACCGAGCTGACACGGACTTAGCTGATTTTGCCTATGTCGTGCGGCACCCTCGCGCGTTCGTCCGCAAAGGTCAGCCTCCCCGAAGCCTCCCATTGTCCCTTAGGACCAACAAAAGAGAGAACGGGTTAAAGAGAACGCCTCAATCGGGATCCACAAGCAAACATGTCCGAAAAACACTTCATAGACAATGCAAATTACAAACATACTTTACAAGCTCTGAACAGTGGCACAACAAAGGGTAAAATGGTCCATTACAGACTGAAAAGCTCTCGCACGTGTCCACATGACACAACCTTTATTTACAAGCCTAAAGAGGCCACCAACCCAA